TTTTTTTGGTACATAAGGACTTTTAAGTATTGAAAATGTCCTTTTAAAATTTTATTCTTGAAATTTCGCAATATTGGTTTATGAAAAAATTATATGTCAAGGACTTATATAAACTCGATAACATCCTCGAATTTCCTCCTTCTAACTTTATCAGCTTAAAAAATTATCTACTCGCCCTTGTGAATCCAAAAAATGTTAATTTCATTAAATTCTAAAGAAATTTCCTTTTGCATTTGGTACCCATATTTATATTCCACATTGCATTGCATTTTTTAAATAATTTTGGGAATTAATCACAACTTTGAAATTACAAAGTCCTTTGAAATAAATGCTGACGTCAGAGAGGAAAAGTAAAAACGCCACTAGGAGAGCTTGTCAAACAATATAGAAGCAATTTTTTCGATTTGAGTTGTTGAAAAGTAATGAATACCTAACGACATCCCGAAAATCCCGGGATCGTAAAAAGCGAAAAAATTAACATCCCTAGTGAGCTCCCGTTAGGCATCTCACTCATTTATACATACAAATACATATGGAAGTTTTTTTAATTGAGGTTTTTTTGGTTTTATTTCGAAAGCTACCGAAGAAATTTCGATGAGACGTGATACTTAGAATTAAAATTAATCAAGCCAGTATTAACCTTCATCATTCGATTTTAGGTTTCCCGGTTTCCCTGTAAATTCGCTATACATTTTGCTGGTGGGCTTCAAATTCGTCATTCGCATAATGGAGTCAATATTGGTGACCAGCAAAATTCAAAAGTGTATGAACAAATATGTAGAATTTCCACAAATGGGCGATACTAGTTGGAATATAAATAAAAATGCGAAAAACACATAAAATGGAAATATGTAAAATATATGTACATACATAATGTTACCTTAATATACAAAAAACCCTATTTCACATCGTTGCTGAAACAAAAAAAAACGTAAACTAACTACTAAATATTGCACAACCGTACATTTTTCAAACTCATGACAAGAGCTAAGTTCCAAAAATTTATGTAGATCTTTATAAGTGAATGTTGCAGATCCTGGCATAGTTATATATATATGTATATATGACTATACTATTAACTTTACCAAACTTCGAACTTACTAAGCACAATCCATATGCGTTATTTATTGTTCCTTCCTTATGCGTCTCCTTGAAATACATTTAGTACCCTCCCAAGTGGGCCATAATGCTGCAATAAGTACGCCTGTTTTTTTTCTTGTTTTCCTTTTTTTATCGAAAGGAACATATCTATATATGTATAAAAATGCATAGTCTACCTCACTTTATGTTGCAATTTTCCTAAATTATTTGCAGTAGTAAAATTAATACTTAGGTTGAAATATTTTTTCGTAGAGGAAAAGGTTGAGTAAATGTATGTGTTTCACTAAGTCTGATTGATGTTATTTGAAATGTGCAAACAAATAATAAACATAAAGAAACCACGCGCAAATGCTGATTAAATGTTGGGGTTAACTTGTATGCACTGAGAAAAATAAACCATATTTTTTTTTTGTTTTAAAGCATTGCAAAATCGTTCTAGTCTTTCTGGATTTTGATTTTTTCGACCAAGAATGATTCTTAGATTTGAATTTTTATTTTATCGATCATTTTTAGCAGTTATAATACGTTATTTTGGCCGTGTAAAATATTCTATGATTTAAAAAAAAGATTAGCAATAACGATTATTCTTGATGGGAAAAATTAAAATCATAAAAAAAGGTTCAATTCGATCGAAAAAATTGTAATCATCACCATGAAATTTTGTACACTGCTGTCATTTAGCCCAACTTAAAATATAGGATAAATTTAATCTCGATTAGACAAGGGGGCGTGGCACCTCCCATACAAATGGAATATTTCATGCTGCATTTCTCAGGAAATATTTTTGATAGATTACTGGAACTTGGTATGGAGATATATAAAATCATTATCTACTCATGGATGAGAGCTGCCACCTTTAAAAAAAATCAAATTCAACTGTAATTTAGGGAGTTATTTATTTGAAAATTATATTAAAAAATGGATGTGAAGAGGCTTAAAAAAGCTGTAGTTGGAATATATTTTGAAAAGGGTTGCCACCCGGTTGTCTAACGAAATATTGTTAAGAAACCTTTAGTTTAAAAGTTTTGAATAATATTTAAGTCTTTCGCAAGGATTGCCACCTTTTTAAAAATTAAATTCAATTATTCGAAATTAAATATTACATTAAAAGGGATCTGGCGGTTGATTTATCGGTGGTGATTTGAGATTTACCCCTGCATAACTCAGCCCTGGTGTCTCGGAATGAAGCTTTAACGCATTATAATACTGGCAAATCACATCCATTGGGCCAATTGTAACACACAAGAGTTCGATATACTCATTGGTGCAACAGGTCGATTTAATCTGACATCCACGGCACCTTTTCTAACTTGGCGATTATTCGTAATGACTCCAGCGCCACTTGACAGCCTTTTGTGGCATATTTTGAATATTAGCCAAAGTGGATCATAAATAAGATTTTTAGTAATAACTTAACTTCAGCGCCAACTTACCGGTGAAATTGTGAAACTACACTCAAAAGTACACAAAAAACTTCGTTTAAATCGGTCCGAGCATTAAGGAGATTTTGACTCACCATTTTTCTCCATGACTATAAGATTGATTGCATATATTTCCGTACCAAGTTCCGGTATTCTACCATGAACACCTCCAGAGATACGCAGTAAGAAAAAATCGGTTTGTATAGGAGATGCCACGCCCCCTTTATATATTGAAATTTTTTCAGCCTATAACCATCCTTGGGACGTCTGAAGAAGGTCTCCGAAATTTCAAAATAATCGGTTCGGCCGTTCTCGAGCTTTGCGAACACATAAAAAACGTATTTTAAAATATATGTCATTATAGATTATAGATTATAGATTATAGATTATAGATTATAGATTATAGATTATAGAAGATTGGTATGAATCGAAATGATTTTGAATATGAGTGTCAGACGAAAGAGGTTTAAAAAGGTTGCCAACTGTTTAAAAGGTTAAATTCAAACTATTCAATAATTTAAATGAATTATTACAATATGGGTATCAATCGAAATGATTTTTAATGGGCTTCATTTCAAAAATACATGTAAAAGGTTTATATCTGTTTAAAATCTCAAATTGAGTTCAGGGAATAAGTTAATTGAAAAGGTATGACAAGTGAGAAATTTAAGAAAGTTTTCGTTTGAAAATATTTTGAAGATGGGTAAACAAATTTTAAACCTGTTTTTTAATTAAGTTTCCTTGAAATAAATTTTACTCAATGTAGCACGTAGAAATTTCATACACTCAGCGAAGCGGGTGAGGGCGATCTAGTTGCGTTATAAAAACACGCAGGCATTTCTTACCCGTTTTATATTTTTTCTTTATAATTGAATAGTTTGTTAACATAAATTAAAAATAAGCTTCTCAATTGACTAGAAGTATATATATAAACATAGATCTTAGTAGTAAGCGAATACAGCTGAGGGTGATCTGTTGATCATTCTTTGTAGGTCGCCTGTGACTTACCGAAAATTACTGGACGACCCAACTTGGCATTTAACAGTAGCTATCATTGTTTCCAGTAATAATTGGTGGACTTACTGCTACATTCACTGGTTCCCATCAGCACTCTCACCATTGCGGCCTAAAATTACTGATGAGCGCTACCGTCACCGCCCGCCGTCGGTTTTTCCCTACCGGATTTTGAAAATGGTGCCGATTTTACACCCCGGCCGAGTCTCGGAACTCCAGTTTTACATGCATAGCCGCCAGTCACAATACATTTTATGGACTCTCATGTATTCGGCATCTTTCGAGTCGAAAAATCGACGTAATCAGATTTTCTAAATTCGGTTTACAATACACACACATTCAAATAGTAAGGTGACAAAGGTTGAGACCAATGCTTAGAATATATTACATTAAATAAAATGTGTTTTTGAAGTGAAACTTCTTTAGCGGCGTTTGGTTGGTTAGGAGTAAATTGGCAAATTCAACGGAAATGGTGCAACGGAAATGGTTAGGGCTGAAACAACCCTGCCAGCCAAAAGTGGTGAAAAATCTGGTGAAACCGCGGGTTTCGGTCACTTCAAAACTGGTGACAAAACTGGTGACATTTATATGGGCGGTGTGCAGATTGTCACCACTTTCCCCCTATACGTGTGAGCCTTGCATCACTGTCGCACTCATTCAGATACTTCGTAAGGAAAACATATAGCTGCACTCGTCTAGCATTGCCCACTTCAGCTGGCGCAGGGTTGCATTCTCTTCACAGCGAATTCAAAATAACCTTAAAAACTTTAAATAAAAAATCTTAAAATTTTTTTTGGTTTTTATTTTGCAAATTTTATTTTTCAAAATACATTGTTAACCTAATATAAATATATAAATAGTTAGTAATCAATATTATGAATAATAATTACAATTAACATTAATAATAAAGATATTTTTACATACATATGTGGTTGCTTAATTGCTTATTATTACTACTACTCGTTTGCATATAGCTGTTTTCAAAAGTTGCAAAATTTCTATAAAAAATTTAAGCGATTTTAACATTATAATCAAAAGAAAGGTAATCGATTTACCTTTCTTTTAATATATATTGACAGTTGCAAATCATTTGTACTGGTGCACAAAAATTCAGTTTCGTTACAATTTTCCAAATTTTACCACTTTTTCACTGCTTATATATAGCTGTTTACAAAAGTTGCAAAGTTTTTATGAAAACGTAAAGCGATTTTAACGGTGTTATAATCAAAAGAAAGGTAATCGGTTTACCTTTCTTTTGATATATATTAAGAGTTGCAAATCATTTGTAGTGGTTCAGAAAAATTAAGTTTTCTTACAACTTTGCAAAATTTGAAAAGTTTAACCTACACTTTGAAGGTGCTCCTGGCTTTGAATGTGCTGAGGGCGGAACGTACCCATGGTGCTCCTGGCGATGAAGGAGCTGAGGATAGAAGGTACTGGTGGTGCTCCTGGCGATGAAGAAGCTGAGGGCAGAAGGTTTTAATGGTGCTCCTGGCGATGAAGATGCAAGCGTTGAAGGTACTGATGGTGAATCCCAAATCTGTAAACAAACAAAAATATCAATTCAAATTTATCAACATATAAAAAGTCTCAATACCTACCTTAAGAATGTGACTAAGTCGCTGCTGTTTTGCAATCTAAAAGAAGAAATTACATTCTAATTAAATAAAATTGTTAAATACGTATCCTTACCTTCAAAATTTTCGCAGCGACATTTCTTCACAGTATGTATACTGTCATCAAAACTCCGATGTTTCTAACTTGCTCGCTCTAACGCATAGAATTGTTTAGAGTACGAATTCATATCGGGTATGTAGCTCTAACAAAGGGACATTTTTTTGACAGTTCGAACAAAAAATTTGTAAGTGTGTGGGTGAGATGACTAAAAAGTTGTGAATGTAGTTGTAAATCGTTTGATTTTCAGGGGAAAGTGGTGAGCCGTGGCTGGCAGGGAAGTGCTTCTTGTGTGTATGCACATGGTATTAATTTAACAAAAACATGCTAGCAAAAGGTTAAAGAATAACACTTAGAAAAAGACCAATACAAGAATGAAAGTAAAGGTGAGTACATACATAGATAAAGAAAAGGATAAAGACAAAGGTAAAAATAAAAACAAAAACAAAGATGCGTAAGGATAAAGGCAAAAATGGAGACCAAGGTAAATTTAAACACTTTTCTTATATAAGGGCAAAGGTGAAGGGCAATAAATAGATGAACAACAAAGATAAATATAAAGAAAATGGAGGATGAGGATACCGATAATTGTAAAGATGAAGATAGAGGAAGAAAGATTAAAATGAAGGTAATTATAGAGAAAAGGATACAGATAAAGACACAGAGACAGCGATTATATTAAGAAAAATTAGTAGCACATGATGTAACTCTTAGCTCAACAAATATCAGTTAAAAATTAACTTTTTAACTTATGTATGTGAATTTTACTAATTTCTCAGCTAAAATCACTAGACATAAGAATTTTTATGTAAGAAAAATAGGCATTTTTCAGATAATTTTGAATTCGGCAACCTTAAGTTTACCTATACACGAAAAAATGTTAAACTCCGCTCCCTTCTTGCTCAATCTGGGAACTATTTTCGAATATTAGAGATGTTCGGGACTCTCGGGACTTGTCGACATACTAATCGATACTTTTTGTTATCGAAATTTGTATCGATATTATTATCTACTTTGCTACCGATATTTTTGGAATTTATCGATATCATAATCGATATTTCTATCCATTTTGTTGTCGATATTTTTATCGATTTTGTAGTCGATATTTTTAACGATTTTGTTATCGATGTTGTTATTGGTTTTGTTAGCGATATTGTTATCGATATTGTTATCGATATTTTCATCGAATTTGTTATCGATTGTTTATAGATTTTGTTATCGAAATGTTTACCGATTTTGTTATCGATTTTGTTATCGATATTTTTATCGATTTTGTTATAGATATTTTTATCGATTTTGTTATTGATTTTGTTATCGATATTTTTATCGAGTTTGTTACCGATTTTGTTATCGATATTTTTATCGGTTTTGTTATAGATAATTTTATCAATTTTGTTATCCATATTTTTATCGATTTTGTTATCGATTATTTATTGATTTTGTTATCGATATTTTTATTGGTTTTGTTATCGATATATTTGTCGACTTTGTTATCGATATTTTTTCGATTTTATAATCTATGTGACGTTAGTCTCACTTCTCCAGTGTGGCCCAGGCGCTCTTACCTTATTTTTACAGTCGTCACAGTCTAATGTAAATATATTTCATTCCTGTTTGACTAACTCGAACTCACGCATCTACAGTCAGTGCCAAATGTAAGTGTACACCTTGTTCTAATACAATATTCACACTTATTTTAATAACAAAATTTTTTCATTCATTATTTGTGAAAATATAGGTTATTCTATATCATACCCCATATAAATCAAAGTTTTACACTTTATATAAAGTTCGCAAAAATTAAAACAATTCTCATCTAAATTTCAAAATTTTTAGTTAGAATTTTTAGAAAATTCTCGAGTACGCAGTTTTGTAGCCCGTTCAATTTTAGTAAAACGAAGTGCCAGTTTCAAGTCGCTAAAAATTGCCGTTGATTTTTTAGATTTTTTTTTGTGGAGGGTATTGCGCCTTTTTTTCCATATAACGCGTGATCAAAATCTATTTTTATATTAGAACATGGTGTACACTTACATTTGGCACTGACTGTATATTATTGGCTCACTGAAACAATGTTAAAATCTTAATAAAATTTTAAAAATCTAACCTTGCCTACATGTTTCTATAATCGAATGTAAAATTTTCTTAGAAATATTTATAACTTGATTAACAATAAAGGACAGCAAATAACTAAAAACAAAACCGTAATAAATTGCACAAGTTAAACGAGTTGTGGTAAGACGGGTAAAAATGTAATTTTAGAAAATTGCTTTTGGGACTACTCACCAATTCCCATAAATAATTTAACCACATTTGCTATTGAAAATTTATATAGCAACGCTGTAGGACTAATATGTATGTATGTATGTACATTCATATGTATGCACGTCTATGTATCAGAATGGAATATTTCTAAAGTTTTCACTAGCAATCAAAGAAAGTACAAATAAACAAACAAATGTACACAAAAAACGTTTGAGCTGAAACATATGTATATGTGAGCTGGCAAAGTGTACTTAAATGCCTAGTTTTGAAGAAATACGATCTGTATCCGTACGCGAAAAGACGGAAAATATAAATGTCGTTCTAGGAAAGTTATCTAACTAAAAATTCACATGCATGTATGTACACCTACTTATGTATATGAATAAATATCTATATGCTGGTATATATAGTCTCAACATGTATATTTTATGTACATAAGTATCGTCGTTTAAAGTACAAAACGGCGTATCGTTATTCTGACATTTGCTGCCAAAAATTTGATTCGTTCACACAAGCTCTTGGCTCAATCCTTATCCATTCGTTCTGAAATATACTAGCCAGAAATGCGATTGCTTTATAAACAAGAGAACCATTTTGAAATATAAGTGTTTTTACTCTCCAAAAAATAATTTATGCAACCTCGCATACGCGTTTTTGCATTTTGTTGATAAGCGGTTTTGTACGAAAGACTGAAGCCCACCGTCAACGAGCTGATTGGACCTTA